TCTCTCTCTCTCTCTCTCTCTCTCTCTCTCTCTCTCTCTTTCTTTCTTTCTTTCTTTTGAGTACCATTCCTATATTAACATTTCTTGTTTAACAGAAATCTTATATTATTTGAACTTTTGCAGACATGGCAGCAATTGTACAATGATTACTACTAAAGAAGACAAAGAAGACGTATTACTGAAACGTACAAATGAAGTTTAATCAGTTCTGAAACAAATTACCATAAATAATAAATGGCTTCAGTTTCCTTTGTTCAGCTAATACATACAACATTCAATATTTTTGTTGCATACATAAAATGAAAGACGTGAAAATGTGAGTTTCGAATTATTCTTCATTTATTATCTTCCTTTCTACTCTTCTTGGTTAATTATTTATTTGTGAGGGAGTGTGCTGCCGCCGTGAAGAGGAAGGGAGGGTAAACAGGCCTGGACTTGCCCCGCCCCGCCCCGTAGTCCTTGCATCCCTAGGAGAGTCCACTCTTCTCCACTCTCCAAGAGCACTGTTCCTCCACACTTCTGGGCTCCTGGGCAGGCAAATGAATACTACTGTGAGGGAGGCCCCTCCTCAAGAAGGTGGCCTGCCTGTGCCTGGTGATGGAGACAGTGGCACTCCTGGATTCTGCAGACACCAGGGAACCGCTGGGAAGGGAGGGCAGAGTTGAGAGCCCCAGTGGGAGAGGCAAGGGCTTCCCCCACTTCTGCCAGCCTAGTCCCTTCCCTGTCCAGATACCCAACGTGCAGGACACCGGGCAAGCTGAATGGCTGGCCAGGGCCCCCTGCCCCTATGGCAGGTACTTGAGACTGCGATACTTTGGTGGAGAAATTAGTATGAAATGAGAAGTGTGCCCTCAGTTTTCTTCTGGAGAATTACAACGCTCTGCTAACTTGTATGACTATCATCCATGGAGTAAAGGCCAGGCATTCTATAAATGGAATACGAAAAGATAATTACACCCCACCCAAGGCCCAACCCAAATCTCATGGAGTAGTGGTTATTTGCTGTCATTTGGAAACAGAGGATCTATGGCCTGAATAAATAAATATGACTACAGAAATTGTACCTGGATTACAGACATATTTAATTAACGAATTTAAGGATTGGGCTAAATGATGTTTTGTATAGCCACATAAAAAATTGGAATAAAAAAATATAAAACTGTTGCTTGGATCTGAATAATGGGCAATATAAAACTAATCACTTTTATTCTGAGTTGCACCAAGAGTGCCCCTATACCCCAGGGAAAATCTATTGTCCTTTCAAAGCCAAGAAGGTTATTTTCTTGTATGGTTGCATGGACGAGCATTCTTTTCCTGCTTTCTCAGCAAATAACAAGCTATGAACTTGCATTATTAGATTCACACTCTAAATTTTAGTTTTAAAACAGTACAGATCTCTGTGATGACTTTAGATTTGAGAGGTCATAAGAACAATGACATAACAAATATTTATTAAATAGTCTCTTGTGGAAATGAGGGATTAATATTTATGTGGTATGTATTCAGGATATAAATGATAGAGGACTTCAATGTGTATGTTAAGACCTGCTAGAAAAACAGTGTAAGACAACCAGGAAAATTATGATAAAATAGTCAAACTGTTAAATTAATAGTAGTTGGAAAGCTAGATTTATAAGGCTGGCTGTGATTTATCATATTATTAAGGTTAAGACAGATTGTAGTACTCACCCTAGGATTATGGTTCAGTAATGGATTTCATAGTAAACTGAGTAGGCAGAGTGATAGGGAAGTCCAGCTGTATACTATCATGAAGGCTGTCAACCCCATGTGGCTGCTTCATGATGCTTGAGCTAAAAATTGCTAAAATCCAAAGTGCTTTATGACTAATTAGTGAATAAGTAATCAGTGGTCTTAAGTGTATTGTAAATAAACATACTCTGTGAAAACTAAGCCTCCTAGAGACAAAGAAAATGATGAGCTGTTGTTTCTGTTAATTTAATAAGATAATTTGTATCATTTCAGAATCCCCTAACTTCAGCAAGATGACTATTAATACCACTGAGTCTGCAATAGGAGCATTTACATGTGCCTTACGCAGTCGTAGATGAAAACCATATATAGTAATTTAACAATCAATGCAATTATGCCTGTGGATTATAACAAGTTTGATCACAAATTAATTAATGATGTTCGTTGATGTATTATTATTTGAAACTTAAGAGTTCCTGAAGTGTTTTCAGTATAATTTGTTACTGCAGGTAGGGGAGAAATCCAATAAAGTAATACAATAGAAAATAAATTCCTGTGTTTAGTCATTCAGATTATTGCTTCATTAAGTAATAATTAAGATAGAAGTGAGTGATGTTTCGTAAGACATAAAACTGAATTAGCTAAATTACTGAAGAAGAAAAAAAAAGACAGTACCAAGATGTGACATTTCTCACGAACAGTGTCCTTAGATAGATAATGTTGGCTTGCTGTAAGTTAAATGGAAGAAGACATGTGGTTAGTCTTAGAAAAAAAGTAAGAATGAAAAATTGGGGCTATTTTTGTTGTATTTCTTAAGGGTAGAGTGGATTGTAAGTACAATTATTAAGATTTGGGAGATCAAATTTATTCAAATCATAGAGGATTTTGAATACCGTGTTAAATCAATATGGAAGTGGCCAACATGACTTTTAGCATGTGATTCAACTTGAAACATAATGTATTCCACACAAATGAGATACTGTCACAGCCCCACAGCTGCATAGCAGGCCATTCAAACTAGAATAATGGGAACTACAAATAATAATGTACGATGGAAGGTTAAGATAACTAGGGCTCCTACAATAATATACACAATATTATGTCCTCTAAGTATAGCATGGTAAGGATAAGGAGAGTTCAGTAGGTTAGGGTACATAAAAGGAATGTATAATATGTTAAGGTAATTTGAAGGCATTTTTGGTAACTGAAAATTCACAATTCAATGAGTAAAATTATGTTTTAAAAACTACCATATTATTCAATTTATTGTAATCTTTCAAAAATTATTATGTTCTGGCCTTAATAATCTTCTTCCCAGGGGCCAAAAGAGAAACTACGAATGGTGTGAATTATTTTTGGGAAAAGAATCTAAGTACACCAAGCTCTTAGTCCGTCTACTTTATTCCTCTGGGATAAAATTCTGTCTACACAGCTTCAGTTCTGTTCTCATGCCTAGCTCCCTTCTTGCCTGCTTTCTCTCTACATTTATCTGCTGTCCCTTCTAAGTTCCATCTTAATTCTCTCATCTTAGTTCTGCCCCATCTTGATCTTTCTTCTCCCATTCTTACCCATCTCATTCTTCCCCATCTGGCTCTTCCTCATCTTCCATCTCATTCTTCTAGTTCCCCAATCCAAATCCTCCTCAGTCTCTGAGGTTTACAGTTATATACCCAGGCAATAGCAGTGCTCTAGTCAAAGCAAGCTCACCAGGCTTGAATTCTTACAGGGTCATAAAGGCAGACAAGAATTTTCCTCAGGCACTGACCATCAGGCTTTCTTTTACAACCCAAAAGGGGAGTGGTAAAGGAGGAGGTCAGCTAAGAGCTAAAATCAGTCAATATATCAGAAAAAAGGAATTTATGTTCTCAAACTACATTCCTAGAGGTGGTTAGGTAAATGTTAGGAGTCTATAATGTTAGTATAAATTGTAAGAAAGGAGGGTCTGAGCTTAATTTACCTTATTCAGGAGATTGTTTGGCCTTGGATGCTTGATACGTATTTCAGATAAAATACACTGTTATGAGTTCTTGGAAGCATACATACCATACAAGAAAATCATTGCAGGAATCGCCTAACATATATATATATATATGAGCTAAAATATCACCAAGACTTCTTAAGCCATGGCTTGACCTTTGGAAAAGTCCTTGACCTTTTCAAGTAGTAGCTTTTGTGATAGTAGCTGAATTCCATTACATTTTCCTGCGGCTTACAGCAACAATCTTTCAAAACATGAGAATTCAAAATTAGGATTAGTGCTAAAGTCATAATTAGGTTTAGTTTGTGAAGCACAGGAAAAGGGGTGTTGAGAAGCAACTTAATTTCAAAGCTTTTCCAGTTTTTCGCTAATTGCCATTTTTCCTTTTTTATTTTATTGAGAATTTCATGTATTCACACGTGTTTTGATCAAATCTACCCTACTCCCTCTCATCCAATGTACACTTTCCCTCCTAACTTTACACACACTTTTTAAAAACCCACTGAGTCCACTTAGTATTCCAATATATGCGTGGGTATAAGGGTATCCACTGGACATGGACAGCCTACCAGGGCTTTCATCCCTGAGGAAAATTGGTATTTTACCTCTCCCAGCAGCAGTCATCATTTACTTGTCAGTAGCTCCTCAGCTAGGAATGGGACATTGTGAGCCCCTCCCCAACCTGTGTTGAAATTTGGTTGCTTTTTTTTAATTAAACATTGTATTTAATATTCATATATGCATATAACGAGTTTGGATCCAACCCAAGCCCCATTCTTTCCCTATCACCGCCTCCGAGAAGAACTTCTCCACAACTTCAGGTGCTCTTTCACTCTTTTGTTAAGTTTAGTTCTACTGAGTCATTCAGTGTTGCCTGAATGTGCATGAGAGTGGGGCCATGCTGCAGCATTGGTAGCAGCCATTCCGGGACTACATCGCGAAAGAAAATTCACTCTTCCTAACCCAGTTGCCATGGAGTACCAATGTTTCCTTAGATAGGGGTGGGACTTCATGAGCCTCACCATCCATGCTGGGATTTTGGCTGGCTTGATCTTTTGCATATCTTGTGAATATAGTCACAGTCACTGTGAGTTCATGAATGCAATTGCACGTTTGTGTCTGTCAAATACTGTTTCACAGTCACCATCCACGACATCTGGCTCTTGCTATCTTTCCTCCTTCTGGTCATGATGATTCCTGAGCCCCGGTGGTATTGATGGGTGTGGTATAGATGTCCCATTTGGAGCTGAGCACTCCACAGTCCCTTATTCTCTCCATTTTGACCTGGCACTGTCTACTACAAGAAGAACCTTCTCCGATAAGGACTGAGAGATTCATTAGTTTAAGGGTTAAAAAGTAACTAGTTCAATGGGCAGTTTATTACTGTGTGTATTTAGCAGAATGGCAATAGTAATTTCTTCCATGAAGCTTGGAACCTACCCAGCCATGGGTTCTAGCTCAGTTAATAATACCAGGCATGGGGTCCATATTATGGACTGGACTTTAAATCCAATCAGAAAGTGATTGGTTGCAGCCTTAACACTTTTGCCACTAATGCAACAGTGGTGTAAATTGCCAAGCCATTTGGTAATACGACTTGAAAGTCTCACATCTGGCTAATATTGATGAGGATCTTTCTTCCCCAGTACTGTGCATAGAACCTTCCAGTTCTATGAAAGCTAGCCAATAGAGATAAAGCTTCCAGGTTAGTATGAACCCTATGTTTCCATATCCTGTGAGTCAGGTATGTGGAACAAGGTACTATCAAGTTCTGGAGAGTAACCAAGAGCAATGGCAGTAGTCTATAATGTTTGGGGGAAGGCCTATGGAAGACTACTGATGAACAACTCAAAAACAGGTAATCCATACCTGACAGTGGGCTTTTTATTTGAGGGCCAATTGTGTCTGGTGAGGCCTTTCCCCCATGCCTATGAGAGGATAATTCCATTCAAACCCCTTTTGTATATGTATAAGTATGTGATTTAGAAAGTTCCCACAATAGGATGTTTCCATATGACATTTCAAACTCTTTAGTATTAATTATCTCTGTTGGCCCTGCCTTCCCATCTTTATACCGCCTGTTTTCTAATAACCATATATATTCCATTTTTTCACTTCCCCTCTTTAGACCACCTGTTTTCTGCCCTTCCTTTAAATCCACTTCCCATAGTATCTCACTAGTGTCCTGCAATTTAAACAGTCATCCTCTAAAAAGTCAGAGTTAACATATCTATATATGAGAGAGAACACGAACACCAAACACGGGCTGGAGAGATGATGAGTCAGCTGTTAAGAGCACTTACTGCTTCAGTGGAGGACCCAGAACCTACATGGTAGCTCAAAGCCTTTTATAACTTCAGTTCCAGGTCATCCAATACCTATTCTGAGTCTCCTTAGGCTCCTGCATGCACAGGGTATACATATGTGCACCCAGTCACTCAGGCACACATATATACACATAAAGTAAAATAAATAAATACTAAGAAAAAAAATTCTTCCAAGAACCAAACCCTTAAACACCTAACACTTGACCCATCACATATTATTATAAATATAGTTACTTTCTTGATATTTTTGTGTGTTAGTATTTACTGATACATATAGAAAATTTGATTTTTTTTCTTAACCCTATATATCTTGAAATTTTGCAGGATTTGTTCATTAGTGCTGATAGTTTTCATGAGGATCATTTGGGAATTTTTAGGGTCATATACTATCAAGTCCTCTGTAAGTAGACACACTCTGATTGCTTCTGCTCAGGCTCGGATGCCTTTACTATGGTTCTTGTTTAATTTTCTAGGTAGAATTTCAAATATCATGTAAATATCAGAGGTAAAAGTAGATGTTTAGAGAGATGTGGATTACGCAGAAAGCTTTGGGCTTTAGTGTCATAAAAATGTGCATATAAGTGATGCAAATAATCAGTATTCTATTTCATAATCATTTTTCAAAATCCAATGGAATAAATGATAAACACAACAGTGCCAGATAAAGACCCACGGAAGGTAAATGATGTTGCAACATGGAAAGGGAGACGTGGGGAGCTGAATGTGCTCTGAATAGCCAGAAAGGGACAGGGCACTGGCATTGCCTTGCACACTGCATTGTGAACCCATTCGTAACTTGATAAATCCACATGGATCATATTGGATGTATATAATGAGAAAGCTAAGGCTCTGTTTTCATTTCCTTCCTGTTCCCTTCCCCTCTTTTCTTCCCTCCCTGGACAAAGAACCAGTCTGAGTTTACTGATCGCATACTCATATCTAATACTGCCCATCATCCAGACCAAGAAAGCTCCATGAGTATTGATTATCACAAATGTGCTGACAGTTTTCCTGCATTCTTCGAGGTCCTCCGAAGATCTTCAGGAAGAAGCTTCCAAGAGACAAGCCACTTGAAGAGACTCAACCTAGAAAAAAATTACCTTTCTCTGAAATATATGTGTGGTATTATTGGGTTCTGTCTTTTAAAATCAATTTCAGGTATGTCAATCTGAACATGTATATTATACAG